GCTGTGATTCGGCCTCCATTTCATTAGCTCTGACCAGAAGCACGTTGCCTGCATCTGTAAAAATTATAAATCAAAATAAAAAAACTTTGATGACTTTTTTTTTTTTTTTTTTGAGACGAAGTCTCACTCTGTGGCCCAGGTTGGAGTGCAGTGGTGTGATCTTGGCTCACTGCAACCTCCACCTCCCTCCCGCATTCAAGCAATTCTCTTGCCTCAGCCTCCCAAGTAGCTGGAATCACAGGCCAGTACCTGTGCCACTACCGTCTGGCTAGTTTTTGTATTTTTAGTAGAGACAGGGTTTCACTATGTTGGCCAGGCTGGTCTCGAACTCCTGACCTCAGGTGATCTGCCTGCCTCGGCCTCCCGAAGTGCTGAGATTACAGGTGTGAGCCACCGTCCAGCCAGAACTTTGAAGACTCTTGAAGTTCTGTGGTATTTTCTTTCCTTGCCACGTTAACCCTGTCCCCCAAATGTAAGCTTTAGTTGTAGTATATACACTTTTAGGTTTGTTCACTAACTCTGGAATGGAATCCCACTAATCGAAGTGGATAGTGCTTTTCCACTGTGTGTATTCACATTCTCTCCCCTGATCTGGAGGTAGAGGTGGCAAGTATTGCTATTGCAGAAATTGCATAGAGGAAGCAGTCTGGAGGGTTTTCTAGGCTCTTACAACCCCAAATCAAATATTATCTCCAAACTATTCTATCTCCAGGAACTGTGAATTTAAGGGGAGGAAATCCAAATAAACTTTCTCTTGGAACACATTGTTATGGCCTCTCAAGGGAGGGTTAGATGCCTTGCTTCTGAACTCCCGCAGTATCCTGTCCACAAGCTCATCATGATTCTCACATTGTACTGGCATTTCTGTTTGTTTGCAAGTTTCTCCAGTCTCCATACATCTGTCCTTCCACCCAGACAAAAATCTTTGTGGAATACCTACTCTGTGCCTGATAATGTTCTAAGCAGTAGGAAAGCAAAAGTGAACAATAAGAATGATTTTGCTTTCCAGGAATTTCTGTTCTACTAGATGAAGAAAAACACAGCTGCTAGTAAACAATAGTGTCTCTGCAAGTTACAAAAAGGCATAAGGCTTAGGAAGTATGCAGCAACATTGTATGAATTTGGGAAAAGCCTCTTCTTCCAGCCAGACTCAGACCGCTGCTAAGGAGTACAGCTTTGGGAACAGAGAGTGGGCTAGAATTCAGGACTCACTCACTTCCTTAGCCAGATGAGTCGCCTTAAGAAAAAGTGGGCCAGGTGTGGTGGCTCATGCCTGTAATCCCAGCACTTTGGGAGGCCGAGACAGGTGGATCACAAGGTCAGGAGTTCAAGACCAGCCTGGCCAACATGGCGAAACCTGGTCTCTACTAAAAGTAAAAAATTAGCTGGGCGTGGTGGCAGGTACCTGTAATCCCAGCTACTCGGGAGGCTGAGGCAGGAGAATCGCTTGAACCTGGGAGGCAGAGGTTGCAGTGAACCGAGATTATTCCATTGCACTCCAGCCTGGGTGACAAGAGCAAGACTCCATCTCAAAAAAAAAAAAAAAAAAAAAAAAGGAAAAGAAAAAGAAAACGTGATAAACAGTTATGGAGAAAAATAAAACCAAGTGAGGGATATAGAAGGTGATGTGGCCATGGCGGGAGGGGTGTGCTATCTTACATAGTATGGTTAAACAGGGCCTCTCTGACAAGATGACACTGAGAAGAGACCTCAAATCGTGCAACAAATTGGGCAAATATCTAGAACATTCTAAGATGTTAACAGCAAGTGCAAAAGCCCTGAGGTAGGAGCAAGTTTAATGGGGTCAAAGAACAGCAAAGGGCAGTAGGAATGAGGAGGAAGGAGACAAAAGACTGTTCCAGTAAAGTAGTGGGGCACTGGGTCATGGAGGGCCTTTTAGGCAATCCATCCGTCTAAATATTCATCTACCCACTCAGTGAATACAGAATACCTGCTAGATACCAGGCCCTGTTTGGCCAGCTATGAGCTCCTTGTGAGCAGGAGCTGTTATCATTGAGCCTTTAGCATTCAGCACAAAAACATTTAATAAACTACAAATGACCTTTAGGAACTCCACTAGAAGAGATTCTGGCCTACCTGTGCGCATCAGTTTCCTATTGTTGCTATAATAAGTCACCACAAACTCAGTGGCTTAACAAACCACAACTTTATTATTGTATAATTCTGGAGGTTGAAAGTCTGAAATGGGTGTCACTGGGCTAAAGACAAGATGTCTGCAAGGGTGGCTCCTTCTGGGAGCTCAAGGAGAAAATTTTTTCTTAACCTTTTCCAGCCTCTAGAGCTTGCCTGCATTCCTCGATTTGTTCTCTTCATCTTCACAGCCAGCAGCAATGCAGCATCTTCAAATCTCTGACCCTTCTTTCCATTTTAAAAGACACTTCTTGTTATACTGGGCCCACCTGGATAATCTTATTTAAAGGTCAGCAGATTAGCAGCCTTCATTCTATCAGCAACCTTAATTCCTCCTTGTCATGTAACTTATTCACAGGTTAGATTCACAGCTAACGAATTCACAGGTTCTGAGGATTAGGACATGGACGTCTTTGGGAGGACTTATTCTGCTTACTAGAGTGTGTAACTTAAATGCATGGCTTTAAAAACATATGGAGGTGACACATAAGGAGCCCGCTTCTCCTGGCTGTTAGCAGCTTATATCATTGGACTGTGTCCTGCTCCTTTCTGTCCCTTACTGATGTGGTTTGGCTGTGTCCCTACCCAAATCTCATCTTGAATTCCCACGTGTTGTTGGGGGAACCTGGTGGGAGATAATTGAATCATGAGGGTGGGTCTTTCCCATGCTGTTCTTGTGATTGTGGATAAGTCTTACGAGATCTGATGGTTTTAAAAACAGGACTTTCCCTCCACAAGCTCTCTCTTTGCCTGCTGCCATCCATTTAAGACGTGACTTGCTCCTCCTTGCCTTCTACTATGACTGAGAGGCCTCCCTAGCCATGTGGAACTGTAAGTCTATGAAACCTTTCTTTTGTAAATTGCCCAGTCTTGGGTATGTTTTTATCAGCAGCGTGAAAATGGACTAATACTCTTATGTATCCTCCACTGTATAATCTGGTACATCCAGTTATGATTCTTGAATATGCTGTTTCTTCCCATTTTTAGAGCCTGCTTTATAGTAAGTATGCAGGAATATCTCTTTGCTTTCCTCCTACTCACCTCGTGGGGGCTTTACTCCTCAAAGAAGCCTTTCCATCTACTGGAACCCATATTGATTGTTCCCTTGCCCAGCTCCTGTGGCTCACTGAGCCCTTCTTCTTTTGTTTCTCAAATATGTCACACACTCCCATAATGCTTGACAAATCTCTGCCCTGATCTGGTGAACAGAAATTGCTACTCTTGTGAATGCCCTGGTTCCTTGGTCTGTGGCTTTTTCCAGCTCACTCTTGGCCTTGCAGTCTGCCTCTTAATTTTGCTCAAAAAATGACCCCCATCTTTGTTGGATAATATTTCTGCTATTGTCAGCACCCAATATTCTTGTTATGCCATATTGCAAAAGGTTGTGCTTTGACATGTTCAGGGAGTGTTTTCCCCTCACAGCGTATCACGTATTTATCTTAAGATGGGTGGGTTTAATTACTAAAGGCTTTGGCATTTGTCTTGAAGTGTATGTAAGGAAAACAAATTAATGACTCATTATTATTAACCAACATGAAGGGAAAGGCCATTCTTTCTCAATGTGATGATATGAACAATATTCTATTCATTTTTTTCCTGCCCATATCATATCTTGATGGAAGCTAATGTAAAAGTGAGCAATTTGAAAATTCAAAAAATCCTTACACGTGTAAAGACATACAAACATACATAGGATAGTCATTGTATTATTGTTGTAGCTGCAATACTAGAAGCAATTAAATGTCCATAATGTGGAATTATCAAGATAAAATATAGCACAACCATACTTATGAAATTTTATTCAGCAGTTAAAAAGAATGAGATGTGTATGCTGACAGAGAATAATCTCCAAGATATTTAAAGAAGAAAGAAAAATACATGCCTACATGTACATATAGACAGAGAATGTCTCAGGTCATCGAAGAAGCTTACTAGATGTTGCTTCTGGGGAGATGCACTAAGGATTGGGGAGTAAGAGAAAGATTTACCTGTGGTTCCTTTCACTTGTCCTACAGTCTCAGCTGCTATCTAATTGTGGAGGCAGGAGAGTTTCTTTTCATATCCTGACTTTGCCTTATGAAGCGTTTCTGTCCATCAGAGATGACTGGTTTGGGTTTATCTCAGTTTCCTCCCCAGCTGAGTGTCCCCACGAAGTCACCTTCTGAGTTGTCTGGTTGGCCACAATTGAAATAAAAGGTTCAATTGGGTATCACACACATGCTTTCTTTGAAATAAAGTTTCAGTGTATAATAGGAAGGCACAATGAAACTGAAGTAGAGGTGGTGGAATCATGTTGTAAGTGAAGGGAAATGGCCTTCTAACATTGGAGTATGAGAAACAATGCTAACTCCTTAAGTAATTGTACCTATTTCATGTCATTTTAATTATGATTTTAACCTTGCCAGAATTCACCTGACAAGAGTTTTGTCAGGAATGAATTGAATTATCTTTGTAATGGGGCAGGAAAATGTATTTGGATTTTTTTTTTTTTTTTTTTTTTACTGTGTGTATGTTTTACTTTTTCAAAAAAAGCAAGAAGCAAGAGGGAAAACAATCCAGTGGAGGCTTCCAAACAGTTAAAAAGACTGCAGATTAAATGAGAGGAATTGTGGATTAAACGACTGTGATTCAACTGCCCCAAAGTGGCTGATACTCGGGGCAGAGCTCAGGGTGAATCCAAGAGCTGGGAAAAGGAAATGATGTGAGACTTTGTGTGGAACAGTGCGGATAACTCACACCAGCTGAGCACAGCACAGCCTAGAAAACCCATCACACTGAAATGCTGTTGAACTGATCTTCAGAAGCCACACAGAGATGCTTCTGAATACACCAAAAATCAACACCAGAAGTGCAAAATGAAACAAGTTTATTATTTTCTCCAATAACTTCTGTAAATTACAAAGACAAAATACTAAACTACAGCATATAACTTTTCAATATTTAACCAGAGTACTCGTAATAAATACGCATCCGGAAACAAGATAAAAGGCTACACCTCGTCAGGCATCCTACAAAAATGTCTCAAGTTTTATATACTCTGCAGCATTTCTGTGCGGGGGCAGAAGGGGCTGTTTTGTATTTTCTGAAGTGCTGTGACAAAAGGTCCTTTCACATTTCTTTGGAGCATTTTTGAAATTGCTTAACTATAATTAAACAACTTAAGAAAAGTAACACCAAGCTTTAAAGCCATTTTTGCTTTGCTGTCATTGGTCCTCATCCAATACAGATCAACATATCATCCAGCACAGCCAAGCACCCACTGAGCCCAGGCAGCCCTGTGGGACGTGGGCCCTGTCAGAGCCGGCCCTGCTTTCCGTTAAATACTTTGGAAAGTCCTGGATTCTGTCTCTCTCCCTCAACGAGACTAATGCCATAAGGGAAGCTGCAAGCATGTTAGAAACATTTTGAACCTGAAAGTAAAGTGAACAGAAATATTTTTTCCCGAGACCTCTGCTATGCACCATAATATTACCATATCAGGGTTTTTAGCTTCAAAGTTGAAAAACAGATTGTTACTAACAGTCCTTCCAGAGATCATTTATGGGCGCTGGTAGAGTCAGGGCATTCAAAAACATTCAACGGGTAAAAAGAGGATTTGCTAGATTCAGAAATGCGCTACAGTTCTGAAGACACCATGGCTGAAAGTTCTAGGGGTGTTGGTGGCAGCTCATAGAAGGTCTGGCATACATAACTACCTTTTGCTATAGCTGAAAACTTTAAGGAAAAAGTTACATTTTTAAAAAGTCTCAAGCATGGCTACCTAAAAAGTATTTTGTTAATATAATCTGTAATTTCACTTATTTAGGGGTTTAGATATGAAAACATCTTTATGAGCCAATAAAAATATTACAGAGAAAAAAATACTTTTACAAAAATTGAGGTTAAGAACTATGAGGCATTTCTTTTGGCTGTAAACACAGTTTACTGTCCCTTGTTGAAACACAAATGTTTGGATTTCCTGAGCTTCACGGATAACAGCAGGAGGCAAGTTTGCATAGAAAATTTGCAATATGTCAACAATTTACTTAAAAAAAAGAACTTTTAAGGACAACTTGCTTTTGTTTTTAAGTTTCATATTTTAGTTAATAGCGCTCATCAAACTGAATATTGATAAGCACAGTGATAAGATATATAAGGCAGATGGGAAGAAAACATGGAATTAGAGTTTTTAAATCCACACGATACCATGATAAAGGGTTTTAAGCAGACACTTCATAACTAGTGCCATACTAATTTAGTTAGAAATTAAATCATGTTTTGGAATTGAAAGCCAAAGGCAAAAAGAGCTCTCATGTGCTGAATGGCACTGCCCAAGTACAGCAATGGAAGGAGCATATTCACTGCAGGAGGCCTCAGTACATCACTCGGTGGTGATGAAGCCACTCAGCGGGTCAGGTATGAAGGAGGGGGCCCCCCTGCCAGCATCAGGACCAGACCTCTGGGCGTGGCTGATCCCAGCTCTGGAATCTGAAGGGATGACAGGAACTTTCACCTCTGCTGGTTTGAAGTCTCTAAGTAGTTCTGAGGCAGGCAGTCTTCTCCTGGGACAAGTCCTCAGAAACCTTTGGAAAGGGAAGAAGCTACGCTAGGCCACAGTGCATACCACACATGAGAACAATGGCAGCGGCTGCCAACAACTCTGGATCTAACACAAAGACGGATGACAAGGGGGGCAGTGTCCTGCCAAGGAATCCACTTTACTTCTTTTGAGACTGGTTTTTACACATGGTAAGGATTTGCTTCAGTACTTTCTGGACATCTTCATCCATCTGGCCCTAGGATATTCAAACACAAGATACTCATTAGAACCTAAATTAAGCCATGGGACTTTCTTCTCTGGGGAATGAGATGGCTGACTGCAGTGAAGATCTGGGGTATTTTCCCCCATCTTTCACAGGAATGTCAGCCCTATCATTTTCCAAATTTCTATGAGGAACTGAGTCAAAGAAAGTGTCCTGCCTTCATCCAGCTGGAACATGAGGTGGCAGTGTCTACCAAAACCCTCAGCAAAAGCTATCTGGGTCTCAGTTGCAAATGTGAGTCCAGCAGCCAGAACACCAAACATCATAGAGCCAAGGCAGCACTGGTAACTCTGAGGAGATCAGCATTGCTGGAGAATAAAGCCCCGGTCCTCCCAATGGAGGACCACATTGTCCCTCATTCCTCAATAAATGATGGGAGGGCAGGGCGTGGTGGCTCACGCCTGTAATCTCAGCACTTTGGGAGGCCGAGGTGGGTGGATTGCTTGAGCTCAGGAGTTTGAGACCAGCCTGGGCAACATGGCAAAGCCCCACCTCTGCAAAAAATACAAAAATTAGCCAGGTACGGTGGTGGGTGCCTGTAATCCCACCTACTTGGGAGGCTAAGGTGGGAGGATCACTTGAGCCCATGGGTTGAGGCTGCAGTGAGGCAAGATGATGCCATTACACTCCAGCCTGTGTGAAAGAGTGAGGCCCTGCCTTGAAAGATGGGGCTGTTCCTGGTAAACAGGGCATGAGGCTCCTGACACGGAACCCAAAGCAATGCAAAAGGCGTATTCGGGCTTTCCAGTGGAAAGGATTCTCCTCTAATTCTCGTTCATTCCACTAGTGAAATGATGGGAGTTCTGTCAACATCTGCTGCCATATTTCTTTAGGATGTCCAGAGACTTCAAGGGGCATAACCATACCTGCACAGCATACAGAAGATGCATTCTGTAAACTGATATGACCTCCTGGTGTTGTTTCTTGCATTCCTAGAAAGGGAATATTTCACATTGTTAATAAGCTTAGGAGATCTTCAAAGAACAAAAACAAAAAACTATGAGAAAGCTGCAGTCAAATGCTCCCCCAAGTGGTCCCCTCCACTTTATGCTAGCATTGGAAGTTTCTAAAATTGTTGTGGCCTTACTGGCTTGTGTATTTCTGAATACTTGTCAATAATCTTAGGGAAAAGAGTCTTGGTATGTCAACTCTAGAAAAAACTGTATAAAAAGGAATTATTATAATCCCATTTGGTTTTAAAAATATATGCACTTTGGGAGGCTGAGGTAGGTGGATCACTTGAGGTCAGGAGTTCGAGACCAGCCTGACCAACATGGTGAAACCCCGTCTCTACTAAAAATACAAAAATTAGCCAGGCGTAGTGATCGGTGCCTGTAATCCCAGCTACTCAGGATGCTGAGGCAGAGGAATCGCTTGGACCTGGGAGGCAGAGGTTGCAGTGAGCCGAGGTCGCGCCACTGCACTCCAGCATGGGTGACAGAACAAAACTCTGTCTCGAAAAAATAAAATATATATATGTGTGTGTGTGTCTATATATATGTGTGTATATATGTGTACACATACTTATGCAAATACAGCTACATTAAATGTAAATATTGCAAGGAAATACATCAAATGTAAAAAGTGATTATCTCAGAGTTATTGAATTATGGAAAATTTTTATTTATAGGAAATTGTTAAGACTTTTCTGTATTTTTCAACTTTTCTACAATGACCAAATATGTACCAATTTAATTTTAAAGTCTATTATTTTTAAGGGAATTATTGATTACCCACTATATGGCCAGTGTTATATAATCCTTGGGGAGCTCAATTATTTAGCTCTCAGTGTACCAAGGAGGCAAAGAGGCTGGTGGCCCCAGTCTCCAGTGGTTCCTCAATACAGCCGCTGATGCTTCTATTTCTCCTTGTTGAGCTATTATTCCAGTTCCTCTCAGTGGCTGTTTCAGGGGTCTTTATCTCTGAAACTCTTGTTCTAAGAGCCTGTCCTCTCAGAACATGATGAACATCATGAAAATTGAGACCATCATATATGGATTACTTCAAAAGTGTACAAAAGTCCATAATACCCATTCTTCCTTCCCTCCATCAGTGTCAGAATATGAGGTATCTTTCCTGTTATTAAGGGACACTTTAAAACCCGTCCTTTAAGTTCACACCATAAGAAGGCACATTTGGCACTTCTCTGTGTTGTTCCCTCCCCACCTTTCAGCAATCCCTACTCAATTATTTATGATTTTATCTTTAGATCTGTCTTCCTTTCTATCCCTGCTTCTGTCATCATTTGCTTGGCTTCGATATCTGTGTGAATGATCCATCTAACACCTGAACCTCTCAGTTCCTCAACTTCAGCTTTAATAACGTGCTCCTCTTCGGTTCAGCAACTCCTCTCATGGCCGTAGCCCTGCGTCTGTCATTACCACCTCTGATATCTCAACTGAAAGCATCCCTCACCCTAACCACCACTTCCCATCTTTCCAGCAAACTTGCTTCAGGCTTCCCCCAACCCCTGCTGCGACTGCTTAGCCCCACCAGATACCTATCTACTTACTCACTTTTCTAGCAGCCAGTCTACTGCAGTCCAGATTCTACCCTCCTCCCCATTCCACTGGAATGGTTCTCACCAAGGTTCCCAAAAGCCAGCTAGTCCACGTGTCAGTCCTTGCTGAGTAACAACATATTCTTACTCAGGCCTTCAAGATTCAGCACAAGTATAACTCCCGTAGGAAGCTTTTCATGACTCAGCAAGATTGGGTAGACACATTTCCTTTGTTGTATGCCCATGGTATGCTGGGCGTCTCTTTGTTGATAACTTTATATAGAGTATAAACTCCATGAGGGCAGGGACTGAGTCTTATTCATTTTATATCATCAGCACCATGTATAATACTGATGTATAGTAAGAGCTCAAACATATGTTGCATAATTATAAGAATTACTGTATAAACCAATAGCACTTTACCTAAAAGTCTGTAATGCCATTTTATCAGAAACCTGACCTCACTACATTTAGGTCTATTCTGAAGAAATCATCAAATCCATGTTCTGTTTGTATATGGAAGCTAGAGACAGTCCAGGACAGACTAACTCTGGATTTTAGGTAGAAAACGTAATGTACCCATGCCAACTCAAACCTTAACAGATACTGTGGTAAGCTAAATAATGGCTCTCGAAAGATGTCCACATCCTAATTCCCAGAACCTGTGAATGTTACTTTATATGGCAAAAGGCATCTTGCAGATGAAATTAAGGGTTTTGAAATGGAGAGGGAGATTATCGTGGATTATCTAGGTGGGCTTTAGGTGTAATCACAAGGGTCCTTATAAGAGGGAGGCAAGAAAATCAAAGGCTGAAGGAGGAGATGGGAAGACTGAGCAGATGCTGGAGTGATGTGCCTCGAAGATGGAGGAAGGGGCCATGAGCCACGGAATGCAGGCGGCCTCTGGTAACTGGAAAAGGCGAGGAACCAGCCCTGCCAACAACTTGAAGTTAGTCCAGTGAAAGCGATTTTGGACTTCTGTTCAATGCAACTATAAAATAATTCACTCATGTTGTTTTAAACAAATTTGTGGTGATTTGTTACAGTGGACCCAGGAAACCAATTTAGATAAGGAAGGGCTTTCCTGGGTGAAATAAGGAGAGGGGCCAAGAAGCAGCTTCAGATATATAGAGATGCAACTGCTAGAGATCCTGGCCCCTAACAAGAAAAAGCTCTTGCCACTGCCAGAGATGGGGAATGTTGCAGAAAAAGGAGAAGGGGCAAAAAGGGTATGAGTGAGCACGTAGTCTCCTCCCACTGTCCTGTCGGTTCTTTCCTTCGCAGTGAATATCTGATCCATTGCATTGCTGATAACGACTGAGAATTCCACCAGTGGCTTCCTCTTTTGCCCTCACTGAAGAAATCAGTCAACTGCTCATTGAAGTACATTCCTTTGGGCTGGGAATCTTTTTGTTCATGCCCACTTGCCCTAGCAGCTGAGATGGTACGGAATCTGCCAGGCCCTCCACCCCAAACCAGGCAGCAGAAGCAAGCCCGCTCACCGCCAGCTGGTTCTGGAGCTGTTTGACTTGCTGCTGCAGTGCCTCCAGCTGCTGACTCTGCCTTTTGGATGAGCTTGTTGAGTAGGAGAGCTGGGAGAGGCTGTTCAGGGCCTCCTTCAATTTGGTGACTTCCTTTGACATCTCGTTTATCTAGGAACAAAGGAAAATGGTATTAACAGGCAGTAACTGTCTGCAAAGCAAAATTTCATATATTTCTAAGCCTCAAACACAGTCATCTCTTTTGGTCTCTGGGACTTAAGACTTTGGAACAATTCCCTTTTAATACATTTAAATAAAAAAACTCATAAAATGAAACAGATAACAAAATCAGGCAAACTAACAAAGCCCACCGCATCCATTAGGTTCAGATAAAGGCCCTTGAATTACATATTATGTTTTGGTGATGGTGGTAACAAAAGCTGTGATGTTGGTTTCCTATTTTAAAAGGGGTATGATTGAAAAAAAAATCAGAATTAGGATTTTAGGCTTTATTTGGAGACAGCTATATTTCATCCAATACCGCTGACATGGGCGATCAGGAATAAGGCCTAGGAAGCCTGCTATCTCTGGACATCTTTCTTTAAAGTAAACACAAGTAACTCCCCACCGTACCCCACCACTCGCTAATCCCTGTTTCTCTGGCTGGTAAAGCTCTTTTGAAACACTCATTACAAAAGAATAAAGATAAGTAGTCTCTAATGAATGCCATTCGGAACCTCTGAGACAGGGGACTAGAGATGCAGAGCTGATTGAGGTGTGGAACCATCCCCGCGAACTTTCCCTTTGCTTCCCTCCTTCCTCCAGCAGCATGATCAGCACCATCTCCTGTGTCCAGTGCCATCTTAAACTGCTGGGTCGCCACATTCCTCTTCCTCTCCTATATACCTGTCAAAGGAGGGGCCGGCGAGGGTAGCTTTTACGCTGACTTGAGGGGAAGCTGATGGACCTTAGGGAAGCAGGATTAAGTCTAGGAGTATTTTAGTTTCACATTATGGAGGAATCTGTTCTGAATTCAAAAAAATAACTTGAAGTTTGAGGTGGATCACAAATACTTTTCAGTTTGCAAGTTCACTTCTGATCCCCAACACTGCTAAAGCTTCTGTAAAATGATTTTTGAAGGACAAATATGCATCACATATGTGAAAATGCTTTAGTATAAGGAGAAGTGGCCAAAGATTGATGTTTGCTTATTTATTATTTTTTGAGGCAGGGTCTTACTCTGTTGCCCAGGTTAGAGTGCAGTGGCGTTGATATGGCTCATGACAACCTTGACTTCTAGCGCTCTAGTGATTTTCCTGCCTTAGTCTCTTAAGTGGCTGGGACTACATGCTCGCACCACCATGCCTGGCTAATTTTTAAATTTTTTGTACACATGGGGTCTCACTATGTTGCTGAGGCTGGTCTCAAGCCATCCTCCCATTATGGCCTCCCAAACTGCTGGAATTAGAGGAGTGAGCCACTATGCCCAGCAGATGTGTTTTTAAAATATAAATACCCAACAAACTATTCTTTTTTTTTTTTGAGATGAAGTCTTACTCTGTTGCCCAGGCTGGAGTGCAGTGGCCTGATCTTGGCTCACTGCAACCTCCACCTCTTGAGTTCAAGTGATTCTCCTGCCTCAGCCTCCCTAGTAGCTGGGATTACAGGCATGTACCACCACGCCCAGCTAACTTTTGTATTTTTAGTAGAGATGTGGTTTCACCATGTTGGCCAGGATGGTCTCAAACTCCTGACCTCAAGTGATCTGCCCACCTCAGCCTCCCAAAGTGCTGGGATTATAGGCGTGAGCCACCACATCTGGCCAATCCAACAAACTATTCTTAATGTGGCTTTGGGGACAGATAAAGTTCATGTGCAGAGTCTCTGAGCATTCACTCCAGTTTAGTGCCAACACTAGAAGTATTTAATATAGTAAAAGCCAAAGAGACTAAGACTTATTGCTAGAAACCCAACAGCAATGCAGTTTCACCAACCTTTTTATCCTTATCTTCCTCCAGTTTTGAAGAGCTCTCAGAATATCTTTTCATTTCTGCAAGTTCTTCCTGAGCTTGCTGGAATTTTTGCAGAAGTTCATTTACTTCTTGCTCTTTGGATTTCAAGAGAGTCTGAATATTTTCCTTTTCTCTTTTCACCTGTGAGACCTCACTTCTAATCTGGGCAACCTCTGAATGGACCTTCTCTTTCTCTTTCACTGATTCCTTTAATTTCGATGCCAACACACTCACTTCACTCTCTAAGGATGACTGGAGCTTTTCATAGGAAGACCGGGGTACCATTGCATCAGTCATAGCAGCTTTCTCTTCTAAGAGTTGTTTCTCCAGCTTTGCTACTTCCACTTCCTTGCTTGCAAGGTGTTCCTTAAGATTGCTTATTTTTTCTTCCATCTCTTTTGCTGCAGTCCGCAGCGTGGTTATCACTTGCAAATGTTCTGTGATAGAGACAGAGTTCTCTTTCTGTGCATCGACCAGTTGTTTGAGCTGGGTCAACTCGTTCAACACTTTTGAATACTGAGACTTCATTTCGGACAGTGCATCTTCTGCTTTAGCCCTGGACACGTTTGTCAATTGCATCAGTTTCTCATGCTCTGCTTTATGGATATATTCAGCTGTGATATCCTCTAGAGATTTCCTCTTCCTGTAATCCTCCAGTTCAGCCTGGGCTTCTTTGTACAGCTGTGACAGCTCGCTCACCTGTTTGTTGAGTTCATCTATCATCCTATTCATGGCTTCTTTCATGTCCTCAGCTTCATCACTGGCTTCCTGTGTCATCTGACTTTTTAGTGTATCTTTTAATTTCATGATTTCTTCTTGGGCCTCTTGGTATTTCTCAAACAAAAATGCTTTCTCCTTATTCATGTTCTCAATAACAGAGCAATATGAACTTTTCATTTCCTCGTACTCTTCCACAGGTGGCTTAATCACTGTACCTTTCTCCCTCTCTACCAGCTTTTCCTCTAACTCTCTTACTTTCTCTTTATTTCTTTCACTTTCTTCTAATGCATTCTGCAGATCCTGCTTGAGCACATTTATTTCCTCTTCCGTGACCCTCAGCTCGTGGAGATGTGAATAATTATCCATGCTCTCAGGCGAGACAAGACCCAGTTTCATCTGCTTCTGCACACTAAGGACTTCTTTCATAGCCTCCTCGTATTTGCTCTGAGTTTCTTTAAGTTTCTGGCTGAGGTCAGAGCTGTTCTCGGAAATCTCAGTGTTGTTTAAGCATACCAGTTCTGCCCTTCGGGACTGGAGTTCAACCTGTAGCTGTTTTCTCTCTGCTTCAGAGCTCTCTAATCTCTTCTGTAAATCTTGCAAAATCTCTTGCAGTTGCTGAATTCTGACGTCACTGTCAGTCGTGGATTTACCTAAATCATGTATTAAGACAGGTGGAGATGATTTGGAGTCTGGGGGAGAGGTTTCACCAGGTTTTCCCAGGGATGAGCCCAAGTCAGTTTGGGTGGAATGATATGAGTCAAAGCTTAGGTCTGCTTCTGCCTCCTTGGGTGATTTGGCCTAGGAAAAAAAGCAAGAATTAAATAATACCAAAGGGGTGGTTAGCTAAGCCAGCAACTAGAATGAGAGGAGTAAATCTGCAACTTTGATATGGGAGAGTAGCATGATCACTTTGCCTGTGTATTCTCATGCCATGAAAAAAGATGGTCTGGGACATGAGTGGGACTAATGACACAAAGCTTGCTTTGGGTTCTATTGGGACAGATGATTTGTGTCACTTTGAAAACAATAACATTGTTTACAAAGCCTCTGATTCAAAATTTTACTTCATTTCTTTTATCATTCTGCTTATCAAGAGGGGTAATGGATATATAGTACAGCTATTTCTTCTTCTTATTTTTTGGTACAGCCATTTCTTATCAAGCTCTTAAACCTGTTAAGTGATCAACTTTACTAAATGAATGGATAATATTATATATATATGTACACATACACACATATAATTTAAAACATAAAATTTTAATGTATATATAAAATCAAAATATAAAATTTTATATATAAAATTATACGTATCATTCTATGTATATAGTATATTTTATATAGAATTTTTCTATAAATTTTGTTTACATTTATTTATATAATTAAACATATAGAATTTTTAATACTGATCATACTATGTATATAATCATATATAATTTACCAGTTGAATAATTTACAGAAAGAGTTAATGAATAACACTCTCATGAAACGAATAATCTGAAACTATAAGATACTTAAAGCTAATATTTAAAAAGAAACTGATGTACACATTTAAAACAAAATACATCTGACTACTGAAAAGACCAAGAGCTTGACTCTACAGAATAGTCCATGACAGCAATCTATTTATATACCTGTAATTTATCTTGTAACTCCTTATTGTGTAAGGTAAGGGAAGCAACTTTTGCTTGCAATAGGGCAAGAAGATCTTGTTGGTCAGCTTCAGAACTTATATCCAATAAGCTATCAGCACCTTGGGAAAGAGAAAGACATTTAAAATAACTTAAAACAATTAAACTCTTATTTCTCTATCCTGAGACAAATTCACTTGCTAGCCTAATCCAGTTCTTCTTCCTGGTCCTAACTATAAAACGCCCTAGCAACTGGACGGATGAACTAAAATTTGCATGTACTGGGGTTTCCTTACTGTGGATTGCTAGCACAATACTGGATACATGTGTATACAAGGCAATTCTGAAAATTGATGGATTTGGTCATATATTTCCTATTCATTTGCCTAAGTGTCACATCTAGTTGTTTTTGGTTCTTCCCTGTGCCTTATAAGTCTCAATTCTGGGAACTGTTTTAGAAATGTCTCTGGAATCTGGTTTATTTCTTTGCCCCTACCACCATTACCGTAATTCAGACTCTATCACTTTACTTGGAAACCCTGCAAACAGCTTCCCAACAAATCTCTGCCCCTCTCCTCTTCCCAGTGAAACTGTACCCTGCACAGCAACGTCAGACCAGTCTTCCTAAAACATACCTTGATTGGGTCATTCCTTTGGGTCAAGTGCTTTCATTATTTTCCCTCCAAAAATAATTTTCAGATTCCTTTATCTGGGTTCAGACCGCTATGATTTGGCCCCAGTCTACTTCTTCAGGTTCATGACGCTGCTACTTTTCTAGATTCCGGTTTTCCTGAGATTCATGGTTCCCATCACACACTCTACATTCTCAACACATGGCTGATTCTTTCATTCTTTATCCACAGGATCGCCCCGCAGAATCTCTCTGCCTAGAGAATTCTTAGGCATCATGTCAAACTTTGCCCAGTACTTGAAGCATTCAATGACCACTCTAGCATGAAACTGTCTTCTCTGAATCCCACATTAATCCCTGTTGGTAACCACAACTTTCTGACATCCTACTGATTATCATGCTGAAATTACAACTTAAGGAGTGCTATTCAAGGTGCTCACTGAGACGGCAAACTTCCTCCAGAAGGCAATGCAATGTACTGCTTCCTTCATCTAGAAAGTCCTACAAAAAATATGTCAGCTGGACAAAACAATGTGCTTAGTGAAGTAACTGTGTGAATTTCTCGTCCAAGCTTTATATTTTATTACTTCTGGAGGTGGAATGTTGCTCTGTCACCCAAGCTGGAGAGCGGTGGCACGATCTCGGCTCACTGCAACCTCTGCCTCCCAGATTCAAGCGATTCTCCTGCATCAGCCTCCCAAGTAGCTGGGACTACAGGTATGCTCAATAATGAACTACTACATAAAATCTCAATAATTTTATGTAATAGCTAATTTTTGTATTTTTAATAGAGACGGGGTTTTGCCATGTTGGCCAGGCTGGTCTCGAACTCCTGACCTCAGGTGATCTGCCCACCTCGGCCTCCCAAAGTGCTGGGATTACAGGTGTGGGCCACCATGCCCTGCTCAAACTCCCTAATTATTATAACTAGTACATACTTTACCCACACTTTGAAAAGCACTGATCTGCTTTTTATTTTCTCACAGTCATGTAATGCAAAGATGAAAACTTTAATCTTAACTTGGAAGGATGCAAAATGGCCTTTCTTCATAGAAATCCTTGCTTCTCATCATAAGTCTGATGCCTAAATCCCAGCTTTCTGAGTTTCCCTGACATGAAGTCTGGTGAGTGTGAAATGAACTAGGGAATTGGGAGCATAAATAAAATTCTAAGAAATAAAGGCTATTTCTAAGATACAGTGAATGTTTTTTGAAGTACCCAATGTAACATTTGTTTAGTTATATCAACACTGATCTCTGCCAGGAATTAGAAAGTTTAATGTTTCTAGGGCCATGTGTGGTGGCTCATGCCTATAATCCCAGCACTATGGGAGGCCAAGGTGGGAGGATCACTTGAGCTCAGGAGCTTGAGACCAGCCTGGGCAATACAGTAAGACCCCATCTCTAAAATAAATAAACACATACATACATACACACATAAAAAATATTTCTAAGTTCTACAAATTAAAGGCTCCAAACACCTATGAAATATACAACAGATTAAGACACTGAATGCTAGAGCAAAAATGGACCTTTGAAATAATTTTTTCCACATTTTAAGTGGATTCTAAAGATACTATATTACATTCTTAGAGGGTAAATTATTCTTAGGAGGCACTCTTTAACAGACACAATGCATTAAATCCTATGATCATAAAGGCAATACGATTACATATGATTTCATGAACATTCTTGTCTTTGCGTGTGTCTACTTAAAATCCACAGTAGGAAAGTTAGATGGGGACAGTCATGGAGGTGGCATGGTGGGTTCTCCCTTCATGAAATCATGTGCTGCTCAGCTGCAAAGAGTGTGGTTAGCAGACAGCAGAAGCCTATGGACCTCATCTGAAAATAATGTTTTTAAATGCGTAAGAGAAAATATACAGGCTACAGTAACTTAAGAGCTTATTTGGTAACAATAACAAGAACTGGCAGCAGGTCTCATAACTGCCGTAATTTTTAGCAGCAATATTGTAAGCATTTCAAGATATCTGCAGTCACACTAAGGGGATAGGAATTCTCTTGGTGACAAAATCGCTGGTCTACTAATATCACTGGGGCTTCTTGCCTGTATTCATAATGGAAGGAACTGCTAATATATAGTTTGGGACAAATGAAAATAAAGATGTATTTTTCAAAATTCAAATTCAGAGACTCTTTAAAATGCAGGTGAAGGCACCCTGAAGTACAGAGTGCATCAGCCTGTGCATTACTGGCAGCTCTGTGTGGACATGCTGGCTCGTGACCTTTTTACACAGTACCCCCGCTTGGCCTTTGCTCTCTTTAAATGGACATGAAACAGTTGGGTTGAAGGAAAAAAAACCAGATGCTTCCTCATCTTACCTGTAGTACTGTCACTTAGTCTGTCTTTGTTTTCTCGTATAGAACTGATCTCAGCCTATTGAAACACAAAAATGACTTAGAGAACATTTCTGAATGTAACATTGCACAAAAGAATCAAGCAGACTTTCTTCCTTGAGCTTATGCAGAGCAGATCTGGCATTATCCTACTAGAAAAGCAGCTAGAAAATCTCAAAGAAAGAAGATATTTTAAGCTATAAATGAGTAAAAGTGACAATTATCCACTAAGTTTAATTTCTAAAACATTAGAAGTTCCAGAGGGTATATCAGAAGTTTCATTTAGTGAGGACAATGCAAATATATTTAAGATTACAGTAATTTTATGTAATTGCTAATTTACTGAGTTATGTACTAAAAACTGAGACGCAAATACTGCTTTCATAGTGAAGTCAAAGAGAAGTTCTATATGTCTGCATTATACATTGATTGAAATATTTTAAAGCAGATTTTTTAGCTTGATCATTTCATAAGTTATCTGCTATTAATTATTAACCTTTCTAAGGGAAATGGCAATAAATATCATCTAGTCTTAGATCGGCAATAGATTCCCCAAAGATTTTCTCTAATCCTTTGTCCCTGAATATCTGTTAACATACTGTAAAAATTCTTGGAACTTCAAAGCCACACTCTCATTTCAAAACATTACAGTGACTTGC